ACAGAGATTGAAAGTGATGGAAAAATGTGTGTAGAGGGGATTGAGGAAAAGAAAAAACGAAGAACAAAGATCATGACTACAGAAGATGGTGATGCATTTAAATTTTTGAAGATTATAGTTAGTAAGCAAGTAAGAGGAAGGGAGTTCCACTGTCAGGAAGAGCTAGAAAAAAAACTACAGGAGTAGAAGTGACGGTTGCATTTAACTATTTCAGGAGTAAAATGGTGGAACGTAGATGCCAGTCTAGTAGCAAGCTTAAATTCATGTAATCGGGGCACCAAGGGAAGAACAGTCGCCATGAAAATATTTGTAGACAGAGGGAAGCCACATCACGCCTATGAGAAACTGGCTGAAGTCGAAATGTCAAGTCAGGACCGATTGTATTACAGATCCTTTTTTGGATTTTGTCAAGAACCTCAAGATAAATAGCAGGATCACCAGACCAGATATGGCAACGGTATTCAATGCACAGACGAATGGTAGATTTGTAAATGTAAAAGATATACGCTGACGAGAAAAAACTTTTGGCACGACACAGTGAACCGACTTTCCTTGCAGAAGATGCAGGTATTGATTCAGTGTATCAGAATCTACGTGGAAAATATTCTGACAAGCTACATTCACTAGTGCCATCAGTTCAGACCTTCATAGCGAGGACCCGCCATGCGATGTACACAGAGGCGAACCATCTACCAATGGTAAGGAGGAAGTTCTATTCGGAAGTTCTATTCTATGAGCAGAGCATGGAGTGAAGCATCCACTTGTGATCGGATATTGCGGATGGTTTGTGAAGTTCTGCAGTGGGGATACGAGTCTTTAAGGTCAAGGAGGTAGAGGGCTTCCATCTGCAATTGACAACATCTGAAAACACAAACCCCACGTCAAAATGACAGAATCTCTCAAACAATGTTGTCAGCATTTCCAATATCGGACAATGCATCAAATAATGTGTACCAGTATTTCAAGAATATTTGGCATCAGTTTAAGATTGATCAAAACACTTCTCAAACTGCTGCCAACTTTAACAG